TTTGACAATATAGTGACAACCCAGGAGCGGGGGAAAAACAGGATGGACAAAACAAAGCTCCAATTGAAGCTTTGTGCTGTCCGTCCCGTTTTCCCTACCTTCTGTGTTGACAAGTCAGCATTGAACCAGCTCGCCTCCACGCTTGCTTTAGTTTCGGTGACATGTAGCGTTTTAGACTTTTGTACATCCTTTCGGAAGTAATGTCGGAAGTAAAGGCAGGAACTTCCGGTCACTTAGCTGATCACTTCGGACAATCCCAGTGCCCGCTTCATGCTGCGAGAGAGCCTGTTCTCCGTACTCAAGCATGCAGGCGGCTGATCCGTGTTCTCGGAGCAAAATTCTTGGGTAAGAGGTCGGGTATCCGAACTCCCACGGAGCGATTGAGGTGCTCATTTTGTAGGCTTAACGCAGGGGGACATGTTCATTCGTGAATCACATTCTCATTTTTTTCTTTCCGCATGGCTGGCATTCCAGTTGACAAAAAAAGCTGTACCGCTCAAAAGTAGAATATACTCTATACTTGAATGCGTTGTCCGGGCGCATGTGAACTCCTTCATTTCAGTAGAACCACGATTACTTTCTTGGCTAGTATTAGTAACAACAGCGTGTACTGCTGTTTTCTGTTTCAAGTGTAACAGCTAGTAAAGTGCTAGTAACGGTGATAGAGGTTCATTAACTACTGCAGTTACTATCATTTGACTACCTTTATTTCTATGAGTACGAGTACCTGTATATTTTTAACAAAGTAGACATCTGAGGTCGCAACTGGCCGGAAAACGCGCATCTGAATGTATTTTTCGAAGAGCGTAATTAGGTCTCCTTTCAGCAGAGTCAGCTCCTGCTCAGATAAGAAAATAATGATCAAATTTTTCCGTCGCCAGTCAGTCGCCAGTGATAAATAAAAAGCGAGAAAAGTCTCCGAGGCAACCCATCAGCGAATGCAGCGAGGTGGCAAGTCCCTGTATCCGAATCTCTCGAAATGTAACTTGAACTAACCGAAATTGCACTAGAAGAAAGCCCTGGCTCCTCGTTTAACTAACTGGCGTTACATTTAAGCACATCGAAATAATAGTTACCCTCCTCTACTTTCGGAGAGTAGGCCCTTGGCTACAGCCTGCTTAGCCCCCTCCCCTTATCCAGCCCTATGACAGACACGTTTCACAGTAGAGTTCACAGAGTTCACAACATCGATCCTAAACAACCCAGTGCAATGCTGGTCGTCGCATTCTCGGGTAAGGTTTAAATTCCTAGAGTTTGTCTTTAACCTGATAAACAGAGTCTTCCAAAATTTGCACCAACCACCGACTAACGCAGCGCTGCAGGCGACGCGAGAGCAGAGTGCAAGAGGCATGGTGAAAGCGTCGATATTTACCATTAGGGCTCCAGAAACCCTCGTAGGTCAGCATGTAGCCGTCCTTTTTGGAACCGACTTTAAATTTACCATAGTTTGCAACAATTGTTTGTTTATTCTGTTTTGTCAGTTCGATCCTGAGAAATTGTTCGTTATTTGGATGGCTCGTGAGGGCATGAATATTGTCGTTCCCTGTAGTGGAATGTAAGAAATGCATTTAGGAATAAAACACCAATACATCCTGCAGAGTAAGAGTAACTCATACATGTTTCTTGACATTGATTATTTTATGACTGAGGTAAAGCGTAAGCTTACCCCTAACATAAGCTGCAGGAATCAGCATCACATTTTAAACCTGAAACCCAGCATATCGTTGGTAAAGACTCGCTGACTTTACTGACCTGGCGTCGTATTACAGTGAATAAAGCTGCATGAATTACCATCCCGCTTTAAATATAAAAGCCCGCAATCGATGCAAACTCTCGCTGACTTTATTAACTTTACTGGCATGGCGTTGGCACAGAAGCACATATCAAACATATCTAAAAAATAATGCATTAAAAAATGTGACTGAAAGATAGCGATTCACACGTTTATTTAATTCACGTAACTATACATATAATAGTTCTAGAGTTAAAGATCTATAATTGTTTGAGCTCGTGATCAAGATAAAATGTTAGTCAAAAACGATTCCATGTTTTGCTGTTCTTTGCTTAATGCAAGAATCTGGTTTCTGGACCGTTTTCGTTAACGCAATAATTCAGGGTATTGAACCGAACCCGAACCGTGAACCGAAAACCGGCAAAAAACGTTATTTTCGCGCAAACCGGAGTTGACTCGGAACGAAATACTTTTTCTCGCTCCGGAGCGGAACCGATATGCTTTCCATGCGGTTTTCGGTTCATTCGCAAAGGCAGGTTGCGTGAAAAGTGTGTGGCAAGAAGCACAGTAACCTTAGAAATAAACCAAGAAATAAAAGAAAAAGAATATATTTTTGCGCAAACTGGGGGAGTTGAGTTGGACCGAAACAAATATTTTTTCGTTTCTGGAAAAAACTAATCAATTATATTTGCGGTGTTTCGTTCACGTGGAACGTAAAAAAAAATTAAGAAACAAAATAGGTAGTGAAAAGCTTTTTAACGTACCATTATGAGGGTTTCAGATAACGGTCGCCTTCATAATTTATAAAGTTTGTCTCAAGAAATCAAACAAAATGAGCACAGTAGCTATAAATTCTCCGGGATTTCTCGTTTTATGTATTTCTTTAAGAGATGCTTAGATTCGTCCCAACCTTTTCTTGGAGACCGGAAATGGCTTATCAAAGAAAATATAACACTAGGAAATACCCAATTCGCACGTCAGCAAAAGTGAGCAATTAATGAGCCTATTTGGTGGCAAACGGTGAGTTATGCTACTTGGTTTATCATCACGAACTAAACGCAAGAAAAAAAGGACAAAAAGAGGTATAGACAACACCCTTAGTGTTGTCGATACCTCTCTTTGTTCTTTTTTTTTTTTTGGCGTTCAGTTTAAGGTTTTTTTGGTGTTTCTTGTCTTCAATTTTGTAGAGTTGTGTGCAATTTATTTTAAACGCCTTGATTTTATCGTATAACTGATCGGATAAGAAAGCGATAGAAAGGTCGATGGATATTTTAGAACCTGCACGAGTTGTCATACTTTGGCGCTTCTAATCCGCTTTCAAAATAACCCAGTGGATTTAATAATCTGTCCGAAATTAAAGTCTAGCACCGGGAAGGGGAGGGGAAATTTAATCAGCAGTTACAACTACAGAAAACAGCAAAACAGCTTCAATCTCTGGTAGCAGAAACAGCGAGGGCCAAAACGTTTTCTCATCAGAAACACGAACATCAAGGCGCACAGCTCTTCTGAGCATTGCTAGACAAGGATCCGCAGCTTTCAAGGGACGCCAACGTGTTACAGCTTTGGGAGGAGAGAAGGGAACGCCATCCAGAAAACTACCCATTGGCGCAAGTAGTCGTGGGAGCGCCTGCGACCCACGTCAGCGTGCAGCGAGCCTTTTCTGCACTGAAGTTCATTCTATCGTCTCAGAGGTGCCGTCTTGCCCCGGATATGCATGACGACGTCCTGCTTTTTCGGTCAGCTGCCTGACACAGAACTGCGCTTTCCACCACGTCCCGAGGTGCCCCAGCACTAGCGCGTTCGTTCCACACAGTAATGTGAGCCTTTGCTTCTATATGTAACACTTTTATAAAATATGCATAGCTTATATTTTGCTGTCGTCAATTGATTTTGTAGCATTTGAGTACGAACCGGTTCGAACCGGTTTGAACCTTAATTTTTTCACTCCGGAGTTGAATTGGAGCTGAACCGTTTTCCCTGAACCGGAACGAAAACCGGAACGCAAAACATTTCGGTTCGACACCCTGCGCAATATTACCTTTTTATAAAGACAATTTTTGTTGTCCTTTTCGTTTTTTTTTTTCGGGGGTCATTGTAGGTAAATATGTAACATCACTCACAGATATGACGTGATGGACGTTATATGTTCACCACTAAATTTAGCGGGAAGTTTTACCACAGCGCGTGACGTTACCATGTGGCGCGACACCTTGACACCTGTGAACGTATTCTCCCTTCACAGGAGTTTTGCCGGGATTCTACACTCTAAGAAATGCTTGCGTGTCTACTTACCCTCAAAACACTGAAAGAGCAAATCTCTTCGATCTACGAAATCAGCTCAGCGAATGATGAGGCGGAATATCCGTTTAGACCTAAAAATGAAGTCTGCTTTATGGCATCACGCAATGCAAAGCGTCATGCTTGCATTGCGTAATGCCACAAGGCAGACTTCATTTTGAGGTCCAAACGGATGTTCCGTCTCATCATTCGCTGAGCTGATTTCGTAGATCGCAGAGGTTGGCTGTTCAAGTGTTTTGCGGGTAAGGAGACGCGCAGGCATTTCTTAGGGTATAGGCATGTTTTTGTTATTATTTGCTGGTGGCATTTTCGAAGAAGCATATACACAAGGATTGGTATAACTTGCCTATCCAGTACGAAGACACGCCTCCGTAAAATCCTTCCTCATACTCTTTTGCGGATTTCTCGAATTTGTCTTCACCCTCCTCGTCCGAGGACCGACGTTGGATTATCTGGAATTGGATTGAAGAGTAAGCGTGAAGCGAAAGTCCCAGAATATTTCGAGTTTTCGGATAAACATATTGCCACCGTGTTCGACCAGGTCCGTTTCAGCACATATTTAAAGAAAAAATTCAATAATTATTGGAGGGCCCATTAATAAAACGGCTTGTTTCTGTTTTCCTTTTTTTACGTGCAATGGCGCATTAAAAGCTTTTTTTAATGCCTTTGTTGGTATGCTTAATAGCAAGTATAATGCACTGGCGATTATTATTTTTTGTTTTCGTTTCGCAATAGCTACATTTTATCATTTTTGCTCTTTTTTTTCTAATGTTGGAGGTGCACAGGGTTATAATGACCACGGTTCACGTAACATTCCTTCTTTGACTGGAGAGAGCATCAGCTGTCATTGAGCGGTGCATCCTGTTGAACTTTATTTTTCACAAAATGAAGAACAAAATTGCGTTTTTTTTTCTTCACTGGGAATATGGATGCATTAAATAAGTGGTGACACTTACTGTCCATCCGCCGCCATCAGTCTCCATGTCACACCACACATAAAATTATTGTGAGGAGTGATTAAATAATCTTGGCTCTGATCATTTCCCTCTCTTTTTAACTGGGCACAGCTTACTGTCCGTCTGCCAGCTGCAACGAAAGAAGCGTGAAGCAAACGTTGCTTATCAATGTTGCAAAAGGTGGACTGTAGCAGAAACCTCCGGTGGAGCGTCCACTAATGCACCACAGGGATCGCCAACGTTACAAATGGTCAGAACTGCAAATTAAACCAAACAAAAAGGTGCTTTTTTTACTCACAAAATTAAAAGAAAGGCTCATTCTATACATCCGTTGTTAGCGGCCCTGAAAGAGCCACCGACAACTGCAATTACATTATTATTTTATTTTTGTCTCAAACGTCACAAAAACGCGCAATAACAACGTAAAAAAGTCCTGCAATTTCTTTTTTTTTTTACATAGTATGCAAAGAGATTTTTGAGAAATACATATGTTGCGATTTGGATGGCTGTAAGAATTATTAACGATGTTCAACAAACATGTTTTCACGGCAATAGACCCTTTTCAAAAGTCAAAGTCCCAAATGCTCCAATATTGCCGTTCCAGATGCGGTGATAGGAGATCATGCTCGGCTAAATCAAGCACCCTCGATCTTGTGAATCTAAGGTGACATGAAAGAAACAGCTTATTTTCCCCTTTCTGCTCTATGCTTTCGAAGACATTCGTTTTTTCTGGTGTGGAGGAGCTGCGTAGCGCCGCCATTACAGCATCTGCTTTGGCTCTGCACAGGGTGGGTATGGCTGACTTTCGGAAAGGGTCTATTGTGAGCGGGCTGTAGGTCTCCCACCTGAGAACATAACAAGAGAAGTCCCGAAAGTGTTAGTGACGATGCTTCGGTCAATACCTGGCTTTTCGCGTTGTTAGTTTAAACTTGACGGCGCCCGGCGACTGTGCTGGGCAACGTTAATACCCCGTGTCCCAAATAGCTGCCAGGCTATTTAATAGGATGGTGAACCGAAATTTGGATTTCAGGAAAAACAATGCAGGAGATGTAGGCGGGACGCTACGATCCCTACAGCACTACCCGTAAGGCGGTATCTCGAATGGACGGCCGTGTTTTAAGAAAAAGAGGTCGAGATTGAACCAGGCCGACGAGGCGCGTGACGTCAAGATATCCTCGTTTCCTCCTCTCTTCGCTTCACTCCCTCAAGGTGGCGAGGCGGAGAAGACGCGAGGCCGTTTCCTCTGCTTCTCAGAGAAACATGACGCGAACATTTTTATCAAATGCGCCTCCTTTTCTTGAAAAATACGGTCATCCGTTCGAAATATCGCTGTATGAGTGATGTTCTGGTATTTGTAGCATCCCGTTGCACCCTTTTGCCGCGTGCTTTGTGGAATCCAGATTTCGGTTCAGCATCCATTTAAACCGACCGCAAAAATCGGTTTATGAATTATCACGTTACGATTTTGTACAGCGTTGGCCACAGGTGGTGCATTTTTTCTACGAAATTCTCAAAGAACAAACTCACCTGAGAAAAAAGTAAAAAAAAAAAAAAAATCTTAGCTCCTGTGGAAATGCAGCGAAGCCACCGGTCTTCAAACCATAGGGCGCCGTGTTGTCTGAAGACCGGAGGCTTCGCTGCGTTTCCATAGGAGTTAAGCCGTTTCCTCTCTCTACTTTTTCCTCCGGTAAGTTCGCTCTTTGCAAATTTTATAGAAAAAAATGGACCACCTGTGGTCAACGCTGTACAAAATCGGAACGCGATAGGTTAAGAGACCAATTTTTGCGGTCGATTTAAAGAGCCTGGCCGCTATTTGGGAAACACAGTAGATCAAAATCTGTTATCAGTTTCACAGAACGCCGTGCGCCTTTTCGTGGAGCGTTCGCTCGGTGTTGCTTGCACGCTATGAGCTATCGAACAAAAATAATAGAAGAGATCAGAACCCGCAGAGTTCCAACGGGTATCTCAACAGGTGCAGATGGTGTACCAATAAAGTTGATGAAACAGTTAGGACCCAAATCTAAGAAAGCGTTAAGGAAAGCGGTAAGTAGCATTATGACGAAGGGAACTGCCCGGGAACAATAAAGGCTAAACAGAATAGGTTTAATATACAAGGGAAAGGGGGACAAAGCTGACATAGGTAACTATTGTCCCATAGCAGCAGCAGCATCAGTAGTCTACAGGTTGGCAATGCAGATTATTAAGGAGAGATTAAAGGCATGCATTGGCAAAAAATGAGAATGTGCTAGGAGAGCTACAAAATGGTTTCCGAGGAGAAATGAGTTGGAGGACAATTAATTTTAACACAGTCTATTGAGGCAGCAGAAAAGGAAAGTAGACCATTCTAACTTGCATTCCCAGGTATAAAGGAGGCTTATGACAATGACATGCAAGGCAATTTGTGGAACACAATGAGAAGCCTAGATGTGGCCGACGGAATATTAAAATTTTTAGGGGATCTTTACAAAGACAACATGGTACTAATAACATAGGAAGGAAAAATAACAAAGCCCATGAAAATAAACCTAGGTCCTAGACAGAGATGCCTCTTGCCGCCATTGCTGTTCGTGTTGTACTTACGTCACGTCGGATGTGTCGCCATAAACAACTATAGAGATTCTCATTAGGTGAACATAGTTCATTCTACAATTAGTTTGATGAAAAAAGTAGTCTCACGTTTTTTCAAGTTGCAGGGGTCAAATATCGTGTAGGGTTTTGTAAACCCGCTTCTTTCCGTTATTTCCGGAACTCGCTTAGAGCTGTTTTCCGCAAAGACGTTCCCGGCTACAATCGGTATGAAAAGGACCGCTACGAACATGTTGGAATTTTTTGCCGGCGATTCAGAGGTTCGTATAAGTCGTAACCAACGTTCTTATCCCATTTCTTTCCTGTCTTATAGAGCGTGAAGACTTCACAGGGGGAAAATCAAACAAACACGACGGACGTATTAAAAAAAAAAAGAACAAACATTTGAGCTTGAAGAGCATTGTTTAGCTGTGTACGCTGATCTATGACACAATAGAACATTTTAGCCGAGAGCTAACGATGACTACGTCAGACAAGGGGGTGCTGTGTCTGCGCGCCAGCTGTGGTTTTGAAACATATACTTGTTATACTCAGTTTCGCCTTACCAACGCTCATTGCGGAGGAGGCGCCGTGCAACAGAGATTTTGATGGCACGGCAAAAGATCGCCATTGGTCCAAGTTAATTATTGTTCCTCCGCTAGAGAGTGCCAGATGCCCCTGGTTTGTTTGCCACGAAAAAAAGAACAACACTAGTTTAATACTTACTTTAACAGTTAAATGGGTCAAAAAGCAATATCGGGTAGGAATGTTTATGACTTTGCAGAGGCGTACCGATCCTAGTTTGTTCCAAATATACTCGCACAGACCGCCACTGTTTCAGAAGCTTCGTTGTTGCGGTGAAATTGCCAGGCTAAAAAGGGACTATTAATTTCAGTCGCACCTTGGAAATGTTTGATGTCGTAATTGCGGGATCGAAACCTCACGCCTGACAACATTCGAGCGCGGCTCATGGATTGAACACCTAAACTGCGTGAGCACTCGACTTTGCCCCGTAACAATCAATCCCTCGGCTTTCATTTAGAGTGCACGTACTACACTTAAAAATAAAGCATACGCATTCTTCCCCCTTGCATCTCAATTTGAATTTCCGCCCTAGTGTATATTTTTATATATAAATGGTTATTATGGCTTATTTTTTTAATATTTCCTTGTTTATGTTGCCTTATCTAGTGTCCGGGAACAGATCCCCCAACTGACCCCCTAGCCAAAATGCTTGAAGGCCCCTGATTTGGATGTCCTGCAAGGCAAGTCAGTTCAGTGCACCAAACTTTTATCGAAATACGACAGCTACGCTTTCTTCCACGTCTGTGTGCAGGCACGTAGCCAGAGGGGGGGGGGGGGGGGGGCATGGGACCTGGGTCCCCCCCCCCCCCCCCCCCGAAATCTTCAATTTTGCTGGGACCTCCTCTCCTCCCTCGTCATTTTTAAAGCTTTTTTAGAAAGTAGAAAACAATGCATCTTTCTAGTCATTTTAAAGGAAGTTTAAACGCATCATAACAGGGCTTCAATAAGTCTAGGTCTGTGAAATCAAACTTGGCAAACTATTTCAGTTGCGTTGGTCCTTACCTCGCCAACCGTGGTCCGGTCGGCGCCATTTATTTCGACCTAATTAAGGCATTTGACCGTGTGCGTCATGAACTATTACTTCGTAAAACTGTGAGGATATGGAGTGTCTTTGCCGTTATGTCTTTGGTTCAAAACGTATTTGACTGGGCGTATTAACAGATTTCGTGTTATCGGTGTGTTATCAAGATTATTCATATGTCCTTCAGGTATTTCCCAGGGTTCAACTCTGAGACCTTTGCTGTTTAATAATTTTGTTAATGACCTTTATCCTTGTATAAAACATTCCGAATTGCTCCAGTTCACCGATGACATTAAGATCCACAGACATATCAAATCGGATGCTGATTGCGAAGTTTTGTAAAAAGACATCTGCAGTTTCGTGATGGCGTGAGATGCAACACTTGCGTTTAAATAGGAAAAAAACACGCTTCTCATTTCATCATCCCTCAAAAATGTGTTCTCAATTTTTTGTATCAGCTGGATAATGAACCATTCCGTCGAGTGGGTTGTGTGCGGGATTTGTTCCTCTATGTGGATTCCACCCTAAGTTTTGATGCATATTTGTCAAATTTCGTGACTTAATGCTTCTGACTTTTAGGTTTGGTTTGTTTTCGAGAATAACTCGAGATTTCAAGGAGACCCATGTCTTGTAAGGCTTTACGCCTCTGTTGTGCGCTCAAAACATGAGTTTGTCTCCGTGGTCTGGAACTGTTTGAGTATGGCAGACTCTGAGAGGTTATAGCATGTTAAGATGCAGCTGGCAGGCATTGTGTACGAAATTTATTACGGTTGCGGGATTTTTTTTAGTTACGAGTCAATGTTACACAGGATGAATTTCCAGACATTAGTAGCTCAGCGAAATGTTCGAGATTACGTATTTTTGGCCAAAGCTGTTCATGGAACATTAAGTTGTTCTGAATTTGTGTTTCTGCTCTCTTTATCCATTCCACGCGTGAGCAATCGCAACCCCAACAAGTT